GGTATAGAAGATATATATCATATAATATTATAGATAGAATTAATTGAGAGTAGAGATGACTATAGTGATATTTATGGTGACTATATATATATATATATATATATACTATATGATAAATAGAATACAGATATAGATATATAAAATGTATACATTATACACACACACTATATACATTCACAACATAGATATGATATAGATATAATGATATTACATATATATAGATAATAGAATATATATATATATATACCGGAGAGATGGCATATCTGGTATATATAGTTATATTATATTATATATATAGTAATAAATATAAGATAGATAGAATATATTACAGAGAGAGGTAGGTACATATGATAGACTATAATACCCTATTGAGAAGATATATGAGAGATCTAGAGATATAGAGAAGAGATAGATGTATATATAAGTAGTAGAAGATAAGGGATAGAGTCTTTCGATAAAAGGTATAGGTATCAGAGTAGAAGAGAGAATAGATATAATAGTATATATATATAGATAGAGAGAGATATAATAGAAATAGAATAGAGAGCTGTATAGAGACATGTAGATAATAGAGGTAGATGAGACATGTGAACATATGAATATGTGATATGGTAGATATAAGATAGATAGAGATACGAGAGAGTATAGAGAGATAGAGATAGATATACAGAGAGAAGAGAGAGAGGATAGACTATATATCTAATAAAGAGGAATACTATAGAGATATAGAGATATAGAGACATAGAAATACAATATATATACATGTTAGAAACAGATATAGGTATACATATTACATTTATAAAGATATATATAGAGACCAGACATACATAGATAGAGAGATATATATAGACTGAAATGAAATAAGAGTATTATATGAATATAGTAGGAGATAAAGAGAGATATAATTACAGACAACCCGAGATGATAGTATATGGAGATAAAGATATACAGAGAGATAGAGTATTATTAGTATATATTATTTCTAACTATATATGTATATAGAGATAGATAGAGTATGAGATTATATATATTATCATCATATATATCCTAATATCCTATATCTATATATGTATGTATGTACATAATATATATATATAGATTATATATATATATAATATATAGACTATGAGCTATTGATATATATAATAGTAATATATATATGTTAAAATGTAATGTATATATAATATGAAATACATGTATATATATAGAATTGGGATATGGATAATTATATAGATATATAGATATATAGATAGAAGAGATAGAGATAGAGCGAATAGAGATATATATACATATGAGTATATATACATAGACAGAGAGAGATACATGATATATAAACATATATATATATAATATATATGAGAGAAACATAGACAGTTGATAAATGAGAGATATTAATACATACAGACAGATATATGCTGAACGAGAGATTAGATGTATAGAGAATATAGAACATATAATATATATAATGGACATTACATACAGATATATAATATATATATCATATAGATTATAGAGTATAGATAGATAGAGAGTATAGATGGAGAAATGTGATATGAGGGATAGTAGATCGATAGTATAGCTATAGATAGATGATATAATATAGAGATGCGAGTATATAGACAGAGATATATTATATAGAGATAGATATAGAATATATATAGTAGATAATATAAGAGAAAGTGTATAGGGACATGTAATATACATATATATATGAGAGTACATAGAACTATAAATTATGATTAGATATAGAGATCTGATATATAGGATATATAGATATAGATATGATTAGACATGTGAATAGTAGAGAATTGTTATGATTATATATTACATAGTAACAGATATATACATGTATATATTACATATATCAAGACAGAGAAGATAGATATAGATAGAGAGATAGATATAGTAGATATGATATAAGAGATATAGAGTGGTGAAGATATAATATATAGAGATATATATAGTATATAGATATGAATATGTGTGGTGTGTAATATTAGATATATAATATATTAGCTATAGATATATATATATATAGAGATCTATATAGATAGAGATAAGCGACAGGATATATACATAATAGACAAGATTGATAAGACATAGGAATAAATAGATAAAATGGATACCCAACAACACACACACACACACACACCACACCAAACACACCACACACACACACACAACCCACACACACACACACCACAACACACACACACACACACACACAACACACACACACACACACCACACACACACCACACACACACACACACACACACCACACACACCACACACCACACACACACACACACACCACACACACCACACACACATATAATTATAATATAATCATATAATATCTTATAATATATATATATATATATAGATAAATAATATATATATATATATATAGAGAGAGATCTACGTAGGGGTAGATAGATATATAGAGATATAGATATATATAGATAGAGATATAGATATAGAGATTATATAGAGTATATATAGATCTGATAGAGTAGAGATATATATAGAGATAGATATATATATATTATATATAGCTATAGTTATGTAGATATATAGATGATATATATATATATTATTATATAGATAAGAGCAATAAAGAGATCAGTGGAGATAGAAGATACATATACATATATAGTAGAGATAGTAGATAAGATAGAGATAGAGATAGATATAGAGATAGATCAGATATAGATATGAGACAGATACATAGAAATATATAATATCTAAGATAGAGACGAGATATATAATAGTATATAGAGGAGAAAAGAGATATGGAGGTATATAGATGATATTACACGTACATAGAGATACAGGATAGATACAGAGATAGAGATACAGTCAGACATGATATAGAGCTAATTAGATGACAAGATCGAGACGATAGATGAGGATACGATACATATATATAGAGAGATAGGCTTATTAGTCGATATGTATATATATATATATATATCTATATATATATATATATATATATATATATATGTATATATATATATATATATATATATATATATATATATATATATATATATATATATATATATGTATGTGTATATATATATATATATATATATATATA